AAATGACAAGTAGGAAAATACTATATATCATAAGAAAAATAATTTTTTAAAACACTCCTTCAAAATATACAAAAACTCAGATCTTGGTTTCCACTATCATTYGATATTCAAAGAAGCCAAGGCTCCTTGAAGAAATGGATGATTTCAAGGCTTGAGCTGAAAATGAATAAGATGAGCCTAGTTCAGCTTTGTTAGGACAGAAAGTTAAAAAAAGAGATGGGGCCTTATTGAAAAAAAAATACAGGAACCAGCCTAGCTTGAGAGGTACCCACTGTTCAATACAGGATAATATGTACAAGATGATTTTTAAAGAAAATTAATGGATTATATATTACTGAAGTAATGGGGAAAAAAGCATAACAATTGGAATCTAAAAGTCTACGACTCATGCAAGAATGAAGAGCTCTTGCTTATAGTAAAATGTCAACTGYTGACTGGAGTAGAGTTGAAAAAAATAATTATTTTGCAACCATACTTTTGTATGGGTAAATGGGTAAATCTAGAGAGCACGAGTGACGAGTAGTAGAATATTTGTACAATCTTTCAGTGTCTTCCTATAGGTTGCTTATTAGCAGCAAATGGGGGGAGGGGGAAGCAACTAGACAGTGGAGAAATCTGACAATGACTTGACTGGTTACCAAAATTAACATCATTAGTGAAGGAAAGATACACAGTRTGTACCTCCAAATATGTACACTTAGAAGGGCACACATAGAAGGAACACACTTGTGTAGTATTTCCACCTATTGAAGCATAACCCGGATCTAATGAGAGACGTCAGAAAATACTAAATAAAAAACATCTTATTAAAAAGGAGGACAGAAATTATATTATTTAAAAATGTTACAGAACAAAGAGTCTGAACAACTATTCCAGATGAAAAGAGAAAAAGAGAAATGATAATTAAATGCAATGTATGGGAGACATGTTGACTTGCTTTGGAAAAAAAAAATACAGGAGGAGACTGACTACAAAGAATATTTTTAGGTCAGGTATAATAGTCCATGACTACAGTCTCAGCTACTCTGAGACTGAAGTAAGCAGATCACTTGGACCCAAGAGTTTGAAACCAGAATTGGCAACATAGCAAGACTTGGCCTAAAAAAAAAAAAAAAAAAAAAAAAAATTATTAGGTCAATAGACAAAAATGGAATATGTATAGTAGATTAAAGTATTATATCAATGTTAAATTTCCTGAGATTTGTGACTGTACTGTTTATGTTCCTTCAAAATATACACTGAAAAGTTTAAGGTTAAGAGATAATCCCTTCTTATTTAGACTGAATTGGACAAAAACAGGAATTTGATCATCTATTTATTGGCATCTAAATACTAGGACATTAATTCTTGTGCTGTAGGAGTCTTATTGAGGAAGTTGGGTCTAATCCCACAGATGGAGATTAGGGCCTACTTTTTCTTCTATTAGACGTAGTGTCTCTGGCTTAATTCCTAGGTCCTTGATCCATGTTGAGTTTTACGTATGGTGAGAAATAGGGGTTTAATTTCATKTTGTTGCATATGGATTTCCAGTTTTCCCAGCACCATTTGTTGAAGATGCTATCTTTTCTCCAATGCATGTTTTTGTCACCTTTGTCTAATATAAGATCATTGTAATTTTGTGGGTTAGTCTCTGTGTCTTCTATTCTGTACCATTGGTCCACCAGTCTGTTTGGTGCCAATACCATGCTGTTTTTGTTACTACTGCCCGGTAGCATAGTTTGAGGTCTGCTTCACYCTTCTTGCTAACGGTTGCTTTAGCTTTTCTGGGTCTCTTATTTTTCCAGATAAATTTCATGACTGTTTTTTCTATTTCTATGAGGAATGTCATTGGGAGTTTGATTAGAACTGCATTAAATCTGTATAGTGCTTTTGGTAGTATGGTCATTTTGATAATATTAATTCTGCATATCCAAGAACAGGGTAGATCTTTCCATCTTATAAGGTCTTCTTTAATTTTTTCTGTAGCATTTTGTAGCTTTCCTTGTAGATGTCTTTCACTTTTTTGTTAAGTTTATTCTCTCTCTTTTTTTTAAATGTTATTGTAAATGGGGTAGTTTTCCTCATTTCCCTTTCAGAGGATTTGTCACTGATATACAGAAATGTCTTGGATTTATGGGTGTTGATTTTGTATCCTACTACTTTGCTGAATTCATTCACTAGTTCTAGAAGTTTTCTGGTGGAACTTTTTCAGTCTTCTAGGTATAGAATCATATCATTGGCAAATTAGTCAATCCCAAAAATCCAAATGCTGAATGATTTCTCTGATTTAAGGATGCTGATCCACAATATGCTGTGGGGGTAGGGATGGGAGGATTAAATGAACTCTAGATAGGGCAAAGRGGGAAAGGAGAGGAAGGGGAAAGGAGGGGACATAGGGGTAGGAAAGATGGTGGAATGCRAGGAGTCATCATTACTCTAAGTACTTGTAAGAAGACATGAAGGATGTGACTCTACTTTGTGTACAACCAGAGATATGAAAAAGTGTGCTCTATATGTGTAATAAAAATTGTAATGCATTCTGTTATCATATATAACAAATCAAAATTTTAAAATAAATAAGTAAATTAATTAATTAAAAACTATTAAATGGGCATATTTTTAATGTTTTCACAAAAGAAAAATATGTGAGGCAATGAATATGTTAAATAGTTCGATTTATATACTTCACAAAGTAGACCTATATAAGAACCTCATGGTTTCACTGCATATGTGTATAAAAYTTTATTCACCAATTAAAACTAAATAAATGAATATGATACTAAATTTTTATACAAATAGTTATACAGATAAATATAAGAATAATAAAAATTATACTATCGTTTATTGCATGAGTAAACAGAATTTTTTAGTTAAATTACCTTCAGTAATTTTCACTATCAACAAATATTCTGTTGTAGCAATTTGTAAGTTATGAATTAATAGCATGAATAGTATTAATTATTAGTATTCCATTTTATACAGGATACTATTTTCTGTTTTGTTTTTGTTCTAAAATCTGTTATAAGTTCTTAATTTATTCAATAAAAATGCTACATAAAAAAATAAAAATAAACACTAGGACAGAAGAATCAAAGATTTCTAAATTTTCTGTTCCCATTGACAACAAAATCCTTACTTTAAACAGAAGCAATATGCTAACAGTTTTTAAATATTTCACATCAAGTATTGGATTGACTTCATAATTAAAAACCTTCAGATTGTGAGTTTCCCACAAAGGTCCGACAACATAGAATGTGCTAATAATGCAGATAATGCACTTTTTTTTTAAGTTGTAGATGAAAACATTACCTCTATTTAATTTATTTATATGTGGTGCTGAGGATCGAACCCAGGCTCTCACACATGTGAGGCAAGCACTCAACCACTGAGCCACAATCCTAATCCTGGGATAATGCACATTTTGTTCTATGTAACTTTTTTWAAAAAAATATTTATTTTTTAGTTGTAGTTGGACACAATGCCTTTATTTTATTTATTTTTATATGGAGCTGAGGATAGAACCCAGGGCCCGACACATGCGAGGCGAGTGCTTTACCACTGAGCCACAACCCCAGCACCTATGCAACTTTTAATATAAAATATATTTCAGCAGTAGATAAACACAACAACTTTATTTTATTTTTTTCATGTGGTGCTGAAGATTGAACCCAGTGTCTCACACATGCAAGTGCTCTTCCACTGAGCCACAACCCTAACCCCTCTATGCAACTTTTTAATTCACTGTAAATACATAAGCTTGTATATTTGTTTTAATACATAAATCTAATGAACTTGGATAATTTAAAMCTGTGTCATGATCGGTGATCTATCTCTTATTGTATTGAAAAATCAGATTTCTACATTCAGAAAATTCAGATCTTATGAGTTTAATAAACATAATTGAAACTACAAATACTGCTTTGGGAAGCCATTTCAGAAAACAAGCCCATYTTTCCCCAATGGTGGTTTATATTCATCTCTATGTAGCAGAAGCTGCAGCAAATAAAGCAAATTCACTCATCCAATATCACCAAATACCTTTAATTTCCTTCTGTATTACACAGCATGTATTACACAGCATGGAAAGCAAACCAAACAACTATAAAAGACCCTATGTTCTTCTGACTCACTTTCAGAGAGGTTGGTTCAGAAAGCAATCTGACCTCCACCAAGGAAACATTTTGGATTTACATTTTGGACTTACAACTAGAAGTCAGCAGTGTGAGACAGTGACTGCATATGGAAGACGGGATTTTCTGGGGAAAGTATGGTGACAGTTATACCAATCTCATATCCAGCACCATAAGAGCCAGGTCATAAAACATGGAAAGAGTGTGGTTTCTATGAAAGCAGCACCAAGTGAACTATTTTTCATATCCAGAATTGGTTTTGTACTTGTCCCTCATCTCGCAAACTCAATCACTGAAATGCCATAAGTTGTTCTATACTTTATCATAAATCTTTTCATAAGTTAGAGAAAGTACATCCAGTCAAAGGTTAAAACTAAGAATCTCAAACAATACTTTGAAAGAGAAGTTTATTTTAAATTTCTATAATTGTAGCCTATGAATTTTGGACTGATTATGTTGCTAATACTACCACTAATAAGAATGAGTTAACATTTACTTAGGAGCTATAACAATAATGTCAAGCATTGTGATAAATGACTTATAAACATTTGGATTAAATATTCTTATGTTCTATGAAAGATCCCCTTGGTGGACTGGGAGGGAAAAATCAAAAGTTCACCACAAGAGGAAATTACTTTTAAGAAACCAATTCATGGATAAGCTATTCTTAGAAATATTCAGATTATGGTAAATACTTTTATCAGAGATAATCAAACTCTTAAAAAACTTTACCTTGTTGCTCTCCTACTCAACATTAAATGCAAAAATATAAGAAGTTCCTCATGATTTTTAAAGTAGCCCATAAAACTCAAACTTGCAGTTTTATAAAAATACAAATGTGGCAGATATGTTGTCCCTCTGACTATACTTTGGCTAGAAAATACTCTGTACCTGGAGATTGATCTCTGCCTCATAGAAGGTTAGGCATGAGCAGTAATGTCGATCTGAGTCAATGTCTGTTAGGACCACCACAAAGAACGTTGGCTGTTTCCTCTCTCTGGATAGCTGCCATCCACCAGGCTGACAAAACTAAACAGAATAGGGGGAAAAAATGTCACATTATGAAGTATAATGAAAATTTATTCGTTAACATCCAAGAAATAATTTTTTAAAACTTTTCTCTTTTAAACTTTGTTAAAAGTTTCCTCTATCTTCAAAAATTTCTGTCTGATGTGGCATGTCATTTTAGCCACATTTTWAAAAAAATTCATGTACAGATTTATAATGTAGAAAACTTCCACAAATATGCATATATATTTTACAAAGACACCTAGATTTTCCACAGATGGCACTCTGTGATGCCATATCTCAGACCAAGGTTCTCATATGCACGAACATAGCACCAAAATTAAGATCTTTATGCCAAATATTAGAACAAATCATGGAATAAGATAAGTTGGAGATAAAGTACAAAGTATAAAAGGAAGGAATGGGGGGTAAAATAGGAAAGACAGAATGAATCTGACATAACTTCCTATGTTCATGTATGAATACACCACCAGTGAAACTCCACATCATGTACAAGCACAAGAATGGAACCCTATTTACAATAAGTTATACTCTATGTATATATGTCAAAATACACTCTACTGTCATGTGTATCTAAAAAGAATAACAAAAAAAAGAGTTAAGTAAACAAAAATATATTATAGGTTCATGGATAGGAAGACAATATTGATAAATTTCAGTTCTTCCCACTTTGATTTGTAAATTCAATGCAAGCCAAATAAAAATCCCAGCAAGTATTTTGTGTATTATCAAAMACCTGATTCTAAAGTTTATAAGAAGAGGCAAAAAACCAGGAGAGCCAACACAACTGAAGAAAGAGAAACTTACAAGACTGATACTACCTAACTTTAGGTCTTACTCTAAAGCTTCAGTAATCAAACCAGTATGGCATTAATTTTTAAAAAAATAAATGAAAAKATTAGAGAGAGAGAGCCAAGAAATATACTCACAAAACTGATCTTTGACAGAGGAGAAAAAGGAACAATTGAAAAAAAAAGATAATTTTTAACAAATGGTGCTGAAAAAAATTGAATATTAGCATGAAAAAATCTGGAAATGAACTGTGCACATTTCACAAAAAATAACTAAAATGGATCATATGTAGAGTGTAGAACTATATATCTCCTAGAAGATATACTACAGGAGGAAAAAAAAAACTTAGATGGACTATTATTCAGCAATTTAAAAAAGAAATGAGTCACTGAGCCATGAAAGACATAGATGCTTGTTTGTTTGTTGTATGAAAATGGGGATCAAACTCAGAGACTTGTGCATGYTGGGCAAGAGCTCTACCACTGAGCTAGTACATCCCCAGCCCATACATAAATGAACATTACTAAGGAAAAGAAGCCAGTCGGAAAAGAGTTACAAATTGATTATATGACACTCTCAAAAAGGCAACAGTAAGGAGGTAATTTTAAAAACCAATGGTTATCACAGGGTGAGAAGGGAGTGTGGAGGGATTCATAGGTGGAACACAGAGGATTTTTAGGGGAGATGGAATATAAGTTAGTGATAGAGTGCTTGCCTAGTACACCCAAGGTCCTCAGGTCTGACCCCAGAACCAAAACCAAAACATAAGGAAACAGGACTTTCGAAGTAATGAATCTCTTTGTGTGATACTATAATGGTGGATATATGTCATATTTGTCAAAATGCACAGAATGTACAATAGGAAAAGTGCACTCTAATATAAACAATGGACTTAAGGTGATAATGATGCATCAGCACAGGCTTATTGATTATAACAGATACATCACTCAGGTGTAGGATAATAGTAGGAGAGGCTGCTTCTAGAAAGGGTCTGAGGGAAGAGGTTGTGTGGGAACTCTGAACTTTCACATTAATTTTACTTTGAATCTAAAATTGCTCTTTTCTAGAATTTTTCTAGAATTTGGAGGAAAAAAAGATACCTTGATTAGTGGCATTACTCATGAACGATATAACAGAAATAATGAGTTTACCAATACCGCAGCCCTTTGTGCCAGATTTCCTCCTTTTTTGTTATTCTGCTTAATAACTATATAATCTTGAGCAATTTACTTAACTTCCAAATGCCTCAGTTTCCTAATGTATTAAGGTAGAATATTAATAAATATTTGACAATACTCTTGGGAAGGAATATAAATTAACACATGCAAAGTACTCAGAACAGTCCCTGGCACATAGTTTAGTGAATATAAATAATAGTTATTATGATTATTACCCACTTTGACTCACCCCAGTTTCTAATGTCATCTCTCTGACACTTTCTTTCTCCTTTGTATATACTTTTTCCAAATCCACCCTTCCTATCATCACCTCATTGCCCCTGTCTCAGCCTAAAGACATCAGAAAAGTAAGATCTAGATGATTTCCTACATTTGAAATAATATTCAGTCTTTCTACAGAATAAAAAGTCCTACCAGATAAATTCCTTTAAACGGACACCATGAAGTACACATGAAGAAATGGCATGAAAGGCTTAAAGATACCTTAATTAGCAAATAAATGAAAACATTCCTACTGAATCTTTATTTTAAAGTAGTAATTCATTTAACAAATACTTTTTGAGCATTGAAATACCATTCATTTTACAAAGTCTTCTCTGAAAATTCCCAGTTTCTCTAGCTCCCTCCAAACCAAAGAGTTTGGGCAGTTCCTGTCCTATATACCAAAACTATTTTTATTATAAATAACAACAACAATAACAGTAACCTTTCCTCCTCTGTCTCTTATCCACTAATCTGATACAGAGAAGTTCCCATCATTGTCTTTATGTACTTATTTCTCTCTCAAGAATCCACCTATACTAAATTCTATATCGTTTTACCTCAGGCTTGTGATCACTGCAAGCCCTTCACATTACAGTATAGCGTAGTAAACAGAATTGCAGAAGTTTCCTRAAGTCAAAACTATTTTCATAATAATACTAAGATGTTCACTGCTTCTTTCACCTGTTGACATTTATATTGGTTGGGCAAAAGCAACAATAGGTAAAGTTTCTGTGTCTTAACAGAATCTATCACAGTAGCACCAAATTATACTGGTAGTTACTGTATTCTTCACAGCTGCACATTTACAAATAATAATAATAATAATAAAGTCAGWTTTAGTTAAGCCTTGGGAAAGCAATAAATATTTAAATTTCATTTTAACACATTTGACCACAACTACTTCTTCAATGTATCAAATAGTATGTACAAAGCACTTATGCTACATGTGGAAATAGGATAGTTGTCTAGAAAAAAAAAATTGTGTGTGGTGGTTTAAACTGTGAACTGAATTAGAATGATTTTTTTTAAAGACCATCATTTTTTACTTGAGAGTATCAGACAAAATATGCTTATACAGACATGTATTTGGCAGACATTTTTTCAAAACAAATCAATTAGACCTGTAACTTCAAGACAAAGATCTGCTGCCAGTATCTGGCACAAATACCAAATATTTGTTACCAATGATAAAACTTGAGCTTTCAAACACCACCATGAGCCTGAAAAGTTTGCAATACTTTAAAATTTTCCAGACAAAAATTATGACAATATTAACAAATGTAATGTTTTAAATATTATCTAATGACATGTCAATGTCTGGAGGATCTATATAACTCACTGAATTCATATTTGCCAAATGATCAATGCATGGTATTATCAAATCATGCATGGATAAAAAATCTATTCAATAGGTAGACTAATATAGTACAACATAATATGAAAATGTGTGTTTACAGATTCCACCTTCCAACTAACTTTTAGAAAAACTATTTGTTCTATGTTGGCACAGTAGTCAAAGAAAAATATCCTTAATTAYTCAAAAAGATTATTAAATACTCTTCCCTTCTCTGATTTTCTTCATATACTTTAAAGTAAAAAAAGAAGAAAATCACAAGAGCAGAACCAGGTATGAGATTCCAGATACCTCTGATATTTAGAAATATATCAAATATACAAGATATTTAGAAAAATACTTTTAAAACCACTCTCTTAGGTAAAAGAGTATATTTTTCATTTACTTTGGAAAATATACCTCGTTTCATAAATACCACATTTATATTAACATGTAATTTTTAATGAATAAATTTATTTTTTAAAATTTAGTTTCAAATTTTAATGTATGAGCAGATAAAACCATATAAGCAAAACTTACTGGTAGTCCTTAATGATCTGTGAACAAATAAAGGGTACTGAGGCTAAAAAGTGATTAATTGCCTTTTTTTTTTTTTTTTTGTATCAGGGATTGTACCCAGGGGTGCTTAACCACTAAGCCATATCCCCAACTTTTTTTTAAACTTTTTAAATTTTTCAGACAGAGTCTCCCCAATATGCTTAGGGCCTTAGTAAGTTACTGGGGCTGGCCTCAATCTTGTGATCTCCCTGCCTCTGCCTCCTAAGTTCCTGGAATTACAGGTTGTGTGCCACCATGCCCAGCTGCAAACTGCTCTTTTAGTGAGAATGAGTGCTAACATGTAACTAACCTTGGCTTAAACAATATTTCTGGGTAGCAAAAAGGTAAAATACTTTTATAGAACCAGGGAATTCTATTAGATTACAACATACCCAGAAACGTCTTTCAAAAATCTTTTTATTTTCAACAAACTTCTTTCCTAAATCAGTCATATTTTATTCTCTCTCTCTCTCTCTCTCTCTCTCTCTCTCTCTCTCTCTCTGTGTGTGTGTGTGTGTGTGTGTGTGTTTGGCAGTAGTGGTGGTGGTGTTACTGGGGATTGAACCTAGGGGGGATTCTATGGCTGAGCTACATTTCCAGCTCTTAAAAAAAAAAAAAAATTGAGACAGAGTCTTATTAAGTTGTCAAGGCTGGCCTTGAACTTGTGATTCTCCTGCCACAGCCTCCCAAGTCACTGGGAAGGTATATCATTTTCTAAAGTTAATTATAGAATCAGGAATGAAGTATCTGAGCTTGTTAATAAAACAATATGATACAACTGGCAATAACAATTCTACTACTATTACTTATTCAACAAACTGCATCTCTGATACAAAGTAAATCAATTCTGTGAATTAATAGCAAATAATCCCATT